ATGAGCAAAACCCTGGAGAATAGTCTCGGTCCATGGAGAATTTGGCCCATCTTCAGAAACAGCCTTTTTTAATTCTTTTAGCTCATGGGCTTCCCAAGGATACCACGGTGCAGGCCGGTAACCTCCTGGATTGACATTTACCGGAAAAGCCATGCAAGGTAAGATGGCGGCTGCAAGCCATCTTGGTTAGAAGGACAAGATGGCAGCGGGTGATCCAAAGGAGGGGAATGACCATAAGGAGGTGGCCACATGGGCCGGACATCCCCTCTGTAAATGGGGGTGCGGTGGGTTGAGGCCATGCTGGGCCTTTAGGGGTTACCACCACACCTGAAGGCTCTACCTGAGTTTCAACTGCCTCGGGATTTATGAGCCTCCTGACGTTCCTCATTAACCACCCAGCCCATCTGTTTCCTATCAACCGGCTTAGGTGTGCAAAATTTTTTGTGTGGCTTTAAGCCTTGAGTCTTTAGTGTGTATCTCAGCGCCTTAGGCGCTGGGTCCTTAAACTTAGCATGAAATTGCCCCATCCTTTCAGGGATACCTACCCAGAGAGCCTCGATTAGCCACATCCGCCGGTACTTTTACTTAGGCCGGAGTCAGTCCTTCTTTAGGGCTCATTTGAGCCCGTCGTGCCCCACGTTGGGCGCCACTTGTCGGGGTCTCAAGTCCGAGGATGGTCCCTGACCAGCAGGAACCAATACAGACACTCCCCGACAAGGCAAACAGGAAGGGTAAGGTCGACGGGTCAAGTACACACCACAAGCACCTGTGAGTTCTGTCGAAGCAGGAACCGCTTTATTGAGGAATTGCACAGGCTTATAAAGCTTACGAAGGACATGCACAGTAGGGGAGCCAATCAGCAAAAAGGTCATGCAGGCACGGGTGGACCACGCACAGGGGCACCTTAAGCGACGTATAAGGATCACACACTGTCCACGTGTCCAGAAATAAATCGGACCTATCCCTGCAGGTGGTCTAATCTCAAACGGTTTAACTGCAGCAACCGCAGTCATGCCCTCCCAATGACCCCCCAGGTGCCATGTTGTTAGGGACTATTTTAGGCAGTGCCCAACAGTGGACTTCACATTTTGGCTCTAAGTCCAAACCACAAACAACTGCCACTCCCCAGCCTCCATATCACTGCTACTTGTGGGCCGCACTGGCTGCTGGCTACTGGCTCTCCTGTCCTTCTACTCCTGGATGCCCTGACCCTATGTCCTGCTTGAGACTTGTAAATCTTTCGGTATGAAGTGAATCTCCCACATTCCCACAGTCCCAGACAATCTTAGGATATTTAAAAGCCATTTTCCCTCTCAAATGACAATGCATTTGGAAGATGTCCGACACTTCCTTCTGTCTCTGTCGGGCACAAAGGCTGGGAGGGAGAAAAACACATAACCATCCCATGAACAGCATTTCCAGCTCCATGTTTGTAATTCTGTGTGGACTGCAGTATATTTTAGAGACGGTAATGTGGTTGAAAAACTAAACTGCGGTGACAAGATAAAGCATCAATATTACTTATAGGCGTTACTTTGGTTTAGATGTTAAATGCTCCCCCCCAAAGGCCCCTGTGTTCCCCAAAGTCTTATGCTAATGGTACTAAAAGGGTGAAAACTTAATCCAGCTATGGCATTTGCAGGTGAGGCCTTTGGGAGGTGCTTGGGTTGGACTGGATCGTTGTTGAGCACTCCCAGGATTAAAGCCCCCAGGTTTCAAAAAGAGATCCCAAACACAGACAGCAAGTGAGCTCCCTGACCCCTGCCATCTGTCGCTCAGTGCTACTGCAGGATACCGCACAGCAGGGGCACCATTAAGGGGTAGCCAGCCAATGGACCACACCCAGTCTTGAACTGTGAAGCCAAAATCAATTTCTCTCTTTTCTAAATTGGGCTACCTTGGCCATTTCATTAGAGTGACAGAAAGCTAATTACTTCAGGCATCCTAAGTCTTTCCGGTGTGTGTTTTCCTTTTAATGCTTTTTTTTTTTTTTGGACAGGCAGAGTTAGAGAGTGAGAGAGACAGAAAGGTCTTCCTTTTTCCATTGGTTCACCCCCCCAAGTGGCCGCTACGGCCGGTGTGTTGCGGCCAGCGCACTGGGCCTATCCGAAGCCAGGAGCCAGGTGCTTCCTCCTGGTCTCCCATGCAGGTGCAGGGCCCACGCTCTTGGGCCATCCTCCACTGCCTTCCCAGGCCACAGCAGAGAGCTGGACTGGAAGAAAAACAACTGGAACAGAATCCAGCGCCCCAACCGGGACTAGAACCCAGGGTACTGGCGCCACAGGCGGAGGATTAGCCAAGTAGAGCCACGGTGCCGGCCTAGGCTGCATCTCTTTGAACATTAATATAGCCATCTGTTCTCTTGCGTGGCCTGCAATATTTGAGAAGACCATCCCAAGAAAAGTCATTCCTAATAATAATGCTCCTCCCCTTCTCTCAGACTACAGCAGAGGACAAAAAGACCTCTGCACGGCTCTCATCCACAACTACCTTCCACTGAAATCAATTCCTGAGACGCCCTCCTCATCCCATGGCTGACTCTCTCTGGCAATAAAGGCTTATTATGGTCATTAAAAGAATGTAATATCTCCCACATCGTAACAATCTTCGATTCCTGGAAGTGGGGGTGGGGTGGGAGGGAGGGGGGAAGGGGAGGAGGAGGAGATAATGATTATGCATTTCCAAAAACAATACTCCTCACTAAATACTTAGGAGGAGAAAGAAAATCTGCATTCCCAAGAACAATACTCTTCACCGAATACCCTCTGAAATTTTTCTAACATTCCTACTTTTTCTCTAGTGGACATCACAGAGTCAGTATGTTTTACAGATGAAAAATATGTATGCATCTCTCCTAGGAATAAGAAATTTGAGGCAGGGGCCGACACTTTAGTGCAGCAACTTAAGCGGTGGCCTGAGGTGCCGGCATCCCATATGAGCACCAGTTGAGTCCCGGCTGCTCCACTTCTGATCCAGCCCCTGCTAATGCACCTGGGAAAGCAGGAGAAGATGGCCAAGTCCCTGGGCCCCTGCACCTACATGAAAGACCCGGAGGAAGCTCCTGGCATCAGCCTGGCACAGCCATGATCATTGCAACCATTTGGCGAGTGAAGCAGCAGGTGGAAGCTCTCTGTCTCCTTTTCTCTGTAACTCTACCTTTCAAATAAATAAATCTTTTAAAAAGAAGAAGAAGAAGAAGAAGAAGAAAAGCAATCTGAGACAACAGCCAGATCAGGTTATCACAGACTAGTCATCTTCAAAGGAAACTCCTTCTAGAATCACAATTACACTAGGACACCAAACATGCACTAGATTTTCTAAAAGCTAGCAAAGATCTCTGACTAAAGCAGGTTACAGAGAATAAATATTCCCCCTGCCCCACCAAAAAAATACATGAATAAAACCATGGAGTATAAAGTAAAGTATGATCAACAATGTTCTTTTTGTTTGTTTGTTTGTTTGTTTGTTTGTTTTTGACAGGCAGAGTGGACAGTGAGAGAGAGAGACAGAGAGAAAGGTCTTCCTTTGCCGTTGGTTCACCCTCCAATGGCCGCCGCGGCCAGCGCGCTGCAGCCAGCGCACCACGCTGATCCGATGGCAGGAGCCAGGAGCCCAGGGGGCTTTTCCTGGTCTCCCATGGGGTGCAGGGCCCCAAGCAACCTGGGCCCATCCTCCACTGCACTCCCTGGCCACAGCAGAGAGCTGGCCTGGAAGAGGGGCAACCGGGACAGAATCCGGCGCCCCAACCGGGACTAGAACCCGGTGTGCCGGCGCCGCTAGGCGGAGGATTAGCCTAGTGAGCCGCGGCGCCGGCCCAACAATGTTCTTCTATGACCTCGGTAGAACCGGGATGGAGTCAAAGATGCTGCCCAAGGGAGACCTGAGCATGTGACTCCTATGCACTACATAGAACACATGGCTTAAACTAACGTATTCTGCTGCTCAGTCCAAGGGACTATTACAAGCAAACATCAACTTCTTCTCAATGTGAGAGCACAAATAAATAATAACAAAAGCAAAACTAGACAAACGGGATTACATCCAACTAAGAAGCTTCTAAACAGCCAAAGAATCAGTAAAGAGACAAGCTAGAGAACGGGAGAAATGCCAACTGTTCATCTGACAAGGGGTTAACATTCAGAACATAAAAAGAACTAAAACAACTCAATAGCAAAAATAATAATTAATAATAATAATCTGATTAAACAATGGGCAATAGACCTAAATAGACATTTCTCAAAAGAAGACATGACTACCTCCAGTGACAGAGTCATAAGGCATCCTCCTCTGTCATAAACTTTTACTCATAAAAGAGTTCAAGAAATATGACTTAGTCTGTTATTTTATCTTTTACAAACCAAACCTAAGCCACCTTGGACAAATCTAATTATTTTTCCTTTTAAAGACCCTCCTCATCTCTTTTCAAATCTATTTTTTATTTAATTCCATAATCTTTCCTGAAAGAAAACTAGTTATGGAAATCCAAAGGCTAAAATGTACATATTTAAATCTTCATAGAAATTCAAGTATGGTTTAATACAGGAATAAAACAAGAGATTAAGCATTCTTGTGTTAAAGTGATTGAAAGTACAAAAATTGCTTTAGTTTAGACTCAAGCTATTAGAAAACATAAAAGACACTAAAACTGCCCTAGGTCTCTTCTTTGAGATATGACTAAATGTTTAAAGCCAGCCTTGGAATTGTCTCCAAGTGCTTCTAAAAAACTTAAGTAAGGCATTCTTATATTAGCATTTGTATTGTCTAATACAGGATTGCCTTACTAAACTCCAAACTACTCATTATAACATTTCAAAAGCAAGCAATCAAATGTGAAACATCACCAGCCCAGTCCAGTGGACCCAGGATCAAGGAAAAGAAGCATTCTAGAGTCAGTGAAGAAACCTCAAATTCCTCCATGTATCTGTTTTTTGTAATGCAGGTAAGACTGACACCCTTCTGCAACTGAAACCTCAGAAATGTCAAGAAAATTAGACTCTTACCTTCTGTGCTACACTCAGGAAAGGAATCAACGAGGGAATCAGGGTAAGCTTCAGCAGGACCAATTAATTCAGAACCATCATTAATTATTCCACCCTAAAAAGATCAGAGCAATTGTGTTTCACAGTCATTAAAACTAATTTTAAAAAAAGCAGTAATATTTCAACTGAGTATAAGTACAATGATTACAGCAACTATTAATCTATTAAACTCAACTACTACTGTATTCAAAAAATCAAGAGGTATACCAATATCAGAAAAACAGTTGTAATAAACGTGTCATACCAATACAACATGCTACTTATCAAGGGCACTGTGGAGTGGCAGTAGGGAAGAGGAAATTTATGGAAAATTATCCTTTCTGCATAATTTTTCTATAAACCTAAACTGCTCTAAAAATAGTCTAGTATTTAAACATTCAATGGGAATATTTCTCTTAAAAAAAATTTAAATCTATCAAAAGTACCCATAAAGAAAATGCAGAAGAAAAATCTCATCCGCTAAAATATATTGTTCAGTATCCTTACTGCCTAGTCATTTCAATTAATGATAAATTATGGAATCCATTAAGAAGTCACTAAATTTTATCGCATTATAAACAACAACATAGCACAGAATACCTCCAGTGATCTGAGAAGCCACGTACATTTGAGAGCTATCTGTATAAAATGTAGGAAAACCAAAGAAGCAAGATATTGTCAGCAAAGAAACACATTTTGAAAGATATTTTTAAAAATATAAGCTTCATCTCTATGTGACCATCATTTTAAATTTACATTTAAGTTTGCAAATTCAGACATCAAAAGATATTTACTGTTACTCTCTTTGAAACCAGAGAATGCTATCATCAAACAAGGAGTGGTGATACAATTTTACACTGTGCTCCAATCACAGATTTACGAATTTATAATTCTTAAATAATTATAACTGGTAGCTTTGTAATCCACAAGGAGAGAAGGCCTATACTTCCCAGAATGGAGAGTCCCCACCCATACTTCAGGGGAAGAAAAGTCCTCATCAAGGTCCCCACCTGTTGAGGCCGGCGCCGCAGCTCACTAGGCTAATCCTCCGCCTTGCGGCGCCGGCACACCGGGTTCTAGTCCTGGTCGGGGCACAGGATTCTGTCCTGGTTGGTCCTCTTCCAGTCCAGCTCTCTGTTGTGGCCCCGGAAGGCAGTGGAGGACGGCCCATGTACTTGGGCCCCCCCACCTGCATGGGAGACCAGGAGAAGTACCTGGCTCCTGCCATTGGATCAGTGCGGTGCGCCGGCCGCGGCCGCCATTGGAGTGTGAACCAAAGGCAAAGGAAGACCTTTCTCTCTGTCTCTCTCTCTCACTGTCCACTCTGCCTGTCAAAAAATAAAAATAAAAAATAAATAAATAAAAAATAAAAAAAAAGGTCCCCACCTGTGCCTAAAGGTCAACCAATGAGGATCAGACCTGCCTCAACCTTTAACCCCCACGCCCTGTACCTACAAAAGGAGCCCTCACAAAGTCTGACGCAAGACTTCTCAGCCCCTGCTCTGTTGGGACTGAGGAACCTCCCCTGGGAGAGGAATCCCAATAAAAGCTTGTGAATTGATTCGTCTGCCTGGGAAGATTTGTTATGTGCCGGACACCTTGCACCCAGCTCCAGATGTTGCAGCTATTTGGAGAGCAAACCAGCAGATGGAAGATCTCTCTTTCTGCTCTGCCTCTCTGTAACTCTTCCTTTCAAATAAAAAATAAATTTAAAATACAATATACGTATTTAGAATAGTAAACGCTTATTATTAGCTGATATAAGAGCTGCTTATAAGATTAAAAACTTCAAAATATCTTAGTTTGCAATCCTAGAGATATATTATTTATCAAACAGCATTCTACAAAGTAATAAAGAACAAATCTTTAATGAAACAAAAATAAAAGTAAAAAAAATATTCTATAGAAACTAGAGGGACGTAGCATAAAAATATGCCACAAGTCTTTTTTTTTTTTTTTTTTTTTTGACAGGCAGAGTGGACAGTGAGAGAGAGAGACAGAGAGAAAGGTCTTCCTTTGCCGTTGGTTCACCCTCCAATGACCGCCGCGGCCAGCGCACCACACTGATCCGAAGGCAGGAGCCAGGTGCTTCTCCTGGTCTCCCATTGGGTGCAGGGCGCAAGCACTTGGGCCATCCTCCCCCTGCCCCTCCCTGGGCCACAGCAGAGAACTGTCTGGAGAGGGGCAACCGGGACAGATCCGGCGCCCCGACCAGGACTAGAACCCGGTGTGCCGGCGCCGCTAGGCAGAGGATTAGCCTATTGAGCCGCAGCACCGGCCGCCACAAGTCTATTTTAAAACTGCAGTTCAGGCCGGCGCTGCAGCTTACTAGGCTAATCCTCCACCTGTGGCGCCCACACTCTGGGTTCTAGTCCCAGTTGGGGCGCCAGTTCTGTCCTGGTTGGTCCTCTTCCAGTCCAGCTCTCTGTTGTGGCCCCGGAAGGCAGTGGAGGACGGCCCATGTACTTGGGCCCCCGCACCTGCATGGGAGACCAGGAAGAAGCACCTGGTTCCTGGCTTCGGATTGGCACAGTGCGCTGGCCGTAGCGGCCATTTGGGGGATGAACCAATGGAAGGAAGACCTTTCTCATTGTCTAACTCTGCCTGTCAAAAAAAAAAAAAAAAAAATACACTCCAGTTCAAAACGAGTAATCTTTGTAGTATTTTCTGAGTAAGTAGTAAAAAATTGTCATATAATATCTCAAAATTTTATGTTAATTAAGTTAACATAGAGGGAAAAACTTCAAATACCGTAGAATGAGTAGATCAACAAATGGTTTTTAAAAAGGCAATGACAAAACTGGATAAATCTGTTAAAAAACTACCATTGAGGGCTCTAGAAATTGATCAAAAGCATAAAGCAAATGAAAACGCAGTTTATCACAAAAGCCACAGAACCACAGTGAGAACTATGGGAGTCTGGGACTTTCTTGCTAGAGGCTGTCCCACCCCCATTGCAGTGAGACTGCCATGCTAACCATAGAAGGGCAAGGCAAACCGTGAAAACCAACAAACTCACTTGTGTGGGAAACTGATGTGATCTGGACTGAAGCATAGAAAATAATCCACCCTCAACACTGCTGTCAGTAACGCTGGCATTCTCAGTGCTAGATGAATGGTGAGCATCAGTGGCTCAGCAAGCTTGAGTGGCAGTTTGCAAAAGACAAGGCATATAGCAGGGAGATCCAGGAAAACAGAGTCACAGGAGGTCTGAATAAGCTACCCACTCATGGAAGAGAGAGCAGAAAAGGAACCATCACCCAAGCCTTTGGCAAAGCATGAAACAGTACCTATGCACAGAGCAAATGCAGGAAATCTCAAAAGAAAGTAAAATCAGGGCAAACTTAAAAACTGCCTCAATTTTGAAAATAGAGAGAGAACCATCAGCATTAAGGGGGAGCTTATAACAACACAGGTATTTAAGCCCAAGTAATGGCCAAACTCTGGCCAAGCACTAAGCTGATACAGGACTAATCCCTAAGTGGCCATGCTTACAAATGAAACTAAATTAAAAATTAAGTAGAGATATCAGCGATCACATAATTCACAGGAAACAGAGTCCACAGATTCAGTTCAGACTAAAGACACTAACAAAAAGGGTTAGTTACCAAGACATTTGGCCTGGCAGTTGAGGTGCCGATTAAGATGCCTGTGCCCCATACTGCAGTGCCCAGGGTTTGATTCCTGGCACCAGCTCCCAGCCAATGTAGACCCTGGGATGCAACAGGTAGCTGGGTCCCTGCCACCCATGTGGGAGACCAACACTGAGTTCCTGGCTCCCAGCTTCAGCCCGAGCCAGCCCTGACCATTGTGGGCATTTGAGGAGTGAACCAGTGAATGTGAGCATGTGTGTGCTCTCTCTTTCTCTCTCTCGCTCTCTCACTCTCTGCCTTTTGAAACTACTAGAAGAAAACGTAAGTGAGACATTGGAATAGGCAAAGATTTTTTGGATATGATCTCAAAAGCACAGGAAACAAAGCAAAATTAGATAATGGGATTACATCCAACTAACAAGCTTCTACATAGCAAAAGAATCAGTAAAGAGACAAGCTAGAGAATGAGAGAAATGCAAACTATTCATCTGACAAGGGGCTAACATCCAGAACATATAAGGAACTCAAAAAACTCAATAGCAAAAAAATAATAATAATCCAATTAAACAATGGGCAATAGATCTTTCTCAAAAGAAGACACTCAAGCTTTCACAAACCCTAAAAACAAGTGTCTCATTTCACAAAGTCTATAAGCAAGTGTCTTCCAGCCATCATTATAATCAGGAATTCCCAGATACAAAAGAGAGGATAAACAGGTCATTTTTACTTAGATTGTTTACTCCATGATTTTCCTAACCCAAACTGTTTTTTCAGTTCTGTGGCATGCGTTAATTTGCATGACTGCTTTTTGTTACTTCTATAAAGCAATATTCTCCTTGCTTAATAATAATGCCTTTACCTACAGGCTTAGATTCCCTGACACAGAGAAACAACAGTAAAAAGAATAATAAAGAGCTAATTGTTTATCAATTCAATTATTCTCAAGATCTGCATTGGGTCATAAGCAAAAGCCAAATGTATGATCTTCATGTAGTTTATAGAGTAAAAAAATTAAGCAGATAGGATAGGCATTTGGCACAGCAGCTGTCACCTGGAACACTTGTACCCCACATCACTATGCCCAGTTAGAGTCCCAACTTCTCCACTTGGGATCCAGCTCCTTGCTAATGTGCACCCTAGAAGGAAGTAGATGATAGCTCAAGTACTTGACTCCCTGCCACCCTTGTGGAAGACCCAGATGGAGTTTCAGGCTTCCTGCTTCAGCCTGGCCCAGCCCTGACTGTTGTAGGCATTTGAGTAATGAACCAGCAGAGAGAAGATGTGTGTGTGTGTGTGTGTGTCACTGTACAATGAAAACAAACATTGCTTTCAAAAAAGAAAAAAGAAAAATTGATATAATTTTTAAAATATCAAGCTGAAATTGTATACATATCTGCACTAAAAATAGAATCTGTATCTCAGACTTTATTATTTAGCTGTTCTACTTTTTTTAGAAAACAACAAAATTCAAAAGAAAGCAACACTTTCTGTTTTATTTTGCTACAAGTTAGAAAACAAAAGTGTTTAATAAGATATAAAATATTCCAGAAAGATGACCAAACCTTGAAGAAATCTTCAAGTTGTTTACTGTTGTAAAGAGCAGGAATATTGGCAGAAAACTGGAGCAGGTCTTCAGCGCACTGTCTTCTCTCTTCAATAACAGTTTCCTCAAATCGTCCTAGGATTAAACAGGAACCCACACTTAAGGAAAGAATGATCAACCCACTGGCTATGCCACGGATCAGAAAGCAGCTGCAGGCCCACCACTGCCTACTTGCTGGGCTTATCAAGCAAACTTCCGAAGTCAAATCTAATCCCTACCATTAGAATCAGCAACACTATCACTAGAAAAGAAAACAAGGTTACTATAAAACAAGAGGCAGAGGTGTCAGTGATAAATAAATGCTGTGTTCATAATCCAGGACCCATCACTGTAAGAAACACCAGTTAAGGAGCTGATGATTTGAAACTGAAGTTGAAAAGAGAATTTTAAAGAACTCCAATGGTTTTCTATCATAATTTAATACTGTAATTACTCACACAATTTTCCCTTTTCTACTCTTTGATTTAGAACAGGGCTGAAGAGAGGAAATTATGAGAACATCTGTACTATCAGTGGGGTCAAAAACCTCAGCTCGAAGCAAAAGGCTTTTATGCTCAACTCCATGTGTGAGGCTGTCAGCGTACATGACAGCAAGCTCGTGAGAAAAAAGAACACACACAACACCAGTGAGATATGCTTTATAAGGTGATCGAAAGGTGGTTTTCATAGAATTTTTAATGATACATACAATTTGAATGCTGATAAGACATTTTCAAATATCATACTGAATTACTCTTAGATTAGATTACTGGTTGGCTGGCATGTCATGTATCACACTGATTGCAATATAGGTTTAAAAAAATACAAAATCAAAAGAGCAACATCATTACAAACTGAAACATTTTAAGCGGTTTTACAAAATGTTAACAGAAAACTAAGGCACAGAGAGACTCCCGGTCTTCTAACTCAAGGCAAGAACTTAAAACTCTACCCAACCTGTCTCAAGCTTAGGGAAAAGTATCTGTTTCATGATAAAGAAGGTTTTGGAGTTAGATATGGGCTCCAACACAAGCTCTATCATTCACTAGCTCTAAAATCTCAAGCAGATGATTTGTTTATTTGTGAAATGGAGAAAATGGATGAAGTACTTAAGGCTCCCACTTCTATGCCAGGCACATCGTAGCATACTTAACAGATTATCACACTGTCTATGAATCTTTAAGTGCTACCACTGTAACTAGCACACAGAGCATGCTGGCAAATTTCTGTTGACTGTGTCAGTAAATAATGAAAACGGGACCAGTGCTGTGGCATAGCAGGTAAAGCCACTGCCTGCAGTGCTGGCATTGCATACAGATCCTGGTTCAGGTCCTGGCTGCTCTACTTCTGATCCATCTCTCTGTTTATGCCCCTAGGAAGGCAGCAGAGGTGGTCCTAGTACTTGGGCCCCCGCACCCCCATGGGAGACCTGGGGGAAGCTTCTGACTCCTGACTTTGGCCTGGCCCAACCCTGGTCATTGCAGCCATTTGGGGAGTGAACCAGAGGATGGAGGACCTCTCTCTGTCTCCATCTCTGTCTCTGTCTCTAACTCTGCCATTCAAATAAATTAAATAAATCTTTAAAAAAGAGCTTCATTTCTCTATTTAAAAAAATAATGAAAACTTGGGCCGGCGCCGTGGCTCAATAGGCTAATCCTCCACCTTGCGGTGCTGGCACACAGGGTTCTAGCCCCGGTCGGGGCGCCGGATTCTGTCCCGGTTGCCCCTCTTCCAGGCCAGCTCTCTGCTGTGGCCAGGGAGTGCAGTGGAGGATGGCCCAAGTGCTTGGGCCCTGCACCCCATGGAAGACCAGGAGAAGCACTGGCTCCTGCCATCGGATCAGCGCGGTGTGCCGGCCACAGTGGCCATTGGAGGGTGAACCAATGGCAAAGGAAGACTTTCCCTCTATCTCTCTCTCTCACTTTCCACTCTGCCTGTCAAAAAAATAAAATAAAATAAAATAAATAAAAAAAAGAAAACTTGGAAAAATAATTTTTAAAGATTTATTTATTTGAAAGGCAGATACAGAGAGAGAAGGAAAGAGAGAGAGAGCAAGAGAGCGAGAGAGAGAGAGAGGTATCTTTCAGCTACTGCTTCACTCCCCAAATGGCCACAATGGCTGGGCCTGAGCCAGAACAAAGCCAGGAGCCAGGAGCTTCATCTGGGTCTCCAACTTGGGTGCAGGGGCCCAAGCACTTGGACCATGTTCTACTGCTTTCCCAGGGTCATTAGTAGGGAGCTGGATAGGAAGTGGAACAGCTGAAACTTGAACTAGCACCCATATGGGATGCTGGCACTGTAGATGGAGGCTTAACCTATTACATCACAGTGCTGGCCCCAGAAAAATTTTCTTTAAAAAAAAATAAATAAATTATCTTACACTGGAAAATCCTAAGGAGAAATCTTTTTTTTATTTCTAAGATTTATTTATTTATTTGAAAGTCAAAGTTACACAGAGGGAGGAGAGGCAGAGACAGAGAGAGAGAAAGAGGTCTTCTATCCAATGGTTCACTCCCTAGTTGGCCGCAACAAACAGAGCTGCGCCAATTGGAAGCCAGGAGCCAGGAACTTCTTCTGGGTCTCCCACGTGGGTGCAGGGCTCCAAGGACTTGGGCCATCTTCTACTGCTTTCCCAGGCCATAGCAGAGAGCTGGATCAGAAGAAGAGCAGGCGGGCCTCGAACTGACGCCCATATGGGATGACAGCACCTCAGGCCAGGGTGTTAACCCGCTGCGCCACAGCGCCGACCCAAGGAGAAATCTTAACTGTGGGTTCATAAACAATGCCCTATGCCACAGCTCACAGACAAGTTTCCAGGACAACAATCCAGAATTCCTCACAGATACTCATACACACTGAAAATTTTTCTAAGAAAAGGGACTATAACTTCATCAGCATCCTCAAAGACTCAAGACCACGGAAGGTTGGCAGCAGACAAGTGGTAGTGAACAAGATTCCTAACATCCAGTATAATGTTTGATTTACTATGGAACAGGCTTCCAGTTGCTCTCCAAGTATCTCTTCTCACTTCCTTCCCCCTCAGTAAGCTGATGTCCCATTTGTAACTGGGTGCACGGCAGCCCAGAGAAGAAAACTACCACTGCCAGCTGGCCTTGCAGTTAGGTGTGGACATGGACTGGTTTGGGGCCAAAACACGTAAGCAAAGGTATTCTGTATGTGCCCAGGAATCTCTTAAAATACAGCTCTCTCCCCTCACTTTTCTTCTTTGTCACTTTCCCCTTCCAGGAAGGCCTATGAAGTGGAATGTTAAAAATGACAGAACAAGCAGGAGCTTAGATTCCTGATCACGATGGCACTGCTAGGCCTGAGGCTACTGACAGATCTTTTGCCTTGAGAAACAAATGGAATTCTGTCTTGCTTTAAATTCTGTCACAAGGGGGCTGGTGCTGTGGCATAGCAGGTAAAGCTGATGCCTGCAGTGCTGGCATCCCATATGGGCACCGGTTCAAGTCCCGGCTGCTCCACTTCCAATCCAGCTCTCTGCCATGGCCTGGGAAAGCCGTAGAAGATGGCCCAAGTCCTTGGGCCCCTGCACTCACATGGGAGACCTGGAAGAAGCTCCTGGCTCCTGGCTTTGGATTAGCATAGCTCTGGCCATTGCAGCCAATTGGGGAGTGAACCAGCGGATGGAAGACCTCTCTCTCTCTCCCTCTCCCTCTCTGTCTCTCTCTCTCTTGCTGTCTTTCTCTCTGCCTCTCCTTCTCTCTCTGTATAAACCTGACTTTCAAATAAATAAGCAAATTTTAAAAATAAAATAAATTATGTCACAAGTAACCAAACCTAATATGCTAATCCTGGGGTGGGTGCTTGGCACAGCAGTTAAGATGCCACTAGATGGGGCCAGCGCTGTGGCACAGTGGATTAATGCCCTGGCCTGAAGCCCCAGCATCCATATGGGCACCAGTTCGAGACCTGGCTGCTCTACTTTCGATCCAGCTCTCTGCTATGGCCTGGGAAAGCAGAAGATGGCCCATGTCCTTGGGCCTCTGCACCCTTGTGCGAGACCCAGAAGAAGCTCCTGGCTACTGGCTTCAGATCAGCACAGCTCCGGCCATTGTGGCCAATTGGGAAGTGAACCATCGGATGGAAGACCTCTCTCTCTCTCTCTGCCTCTCCTCTCTCTGTGTAACTCTGACTTTCAAATAAATAAATAAATCTTAAAAAAAAAAAAATAAAAAAAAAAATAAAAAAAAAGATGCCACTTAGAAGCCTGTATCCCATATCAGAGCCTGGGTTTGAGACACGGCTCTTCTCCCAGTTCCAACTTCCTGCTCCTGCACACCCTGGGAGGCAGCAGTGATGGTTCAGCTAGTTAGATCCCTGCCAACTGGGAGACCAGATTTATTTCTCAGCTGCTTGTTTTGGCCTGGCCCAGTCCAACTGCTGCAGGCATTTGGGGAGTGAACCAGCGAATAAAGATCTCTCTCTCTCTCTCTCTCTCTCTCTCTCTCTCTGCCTTTCAAGAAAATAAAATAAACCACATGCCAAATCTATTTTTCTCATAGTTCTCAGTTTATAGGCAACAATTATACTCAATTCTCCCAGTGAACAACAGCATATCTAAAATAACATTACTGACTTACCTAATTTTTTTATTTATTAAAAGGCAGAGTCTCATAGAGAGTGAGAAAGAGATCTCCCATCTGCTGGTCACTCCCCAAACACCATATTAGCTGGAGTTGGGCCAGGCCAAAGCCAGGAACTTGGAACTCAGTTAGGTCTCCCACACAGATGGCAGGGACTCAACTACTTGAGCCGCCACCTTCTGCCTCTCAGGCTGCACATCGGCAGAAAACTTGAATCAGAAACAGCCAGAACTTGACCCCAGGCACTCAGATATGGGATATGATGTCCCAAGCACTACCTTAACGCCTGCACCAAATGGTCCACCCCTAGCTTACCCATTAATAATATTATCTGGAAACAAACTCAAAAAAGAGCCCCAATAAGTAGAACAAATTCTCTGGCCCGAAAAAAATCTCAATTATCCAATCTTGGGAAAAATCCACTGGCCAGATGGGTAAAATGCTCATTATCTCTTCTCTTGTTTAGGTAAGAAAATATAAACCTGTGCT